TCCTGAAAGCGGTAAACCTAATATTGCGAAAGCTGTAATTGTCTTGTTACGTAGTTTAAAAAAATACAACCCGCTCCAATGTAAAGTATTCTAGATGTTCTAGAAATTTGAATGATTAATTTTGACCAGATCACTAAAAAGTAACAGTTTACCAAGAAGCACAGTGGACTGTTACTGGCAAAGTAGTAGATACAATAGCAATGACAATGAAAATAAAAGTGTTCTAATTTTAGTATGCGTAAACCACCTACTGTGATAGGCACTGTATTAGGTGTTTTTCATGTACTAAAATTCATAGAACTTGTATGAGAAAGCCATATTAGGATGGTGCTATTATTATCCCCATTGTAAAGACGAGAACACGGAGGCACAGAGAAACCAAGGACTAACTATTTAGTGCCAGCCTGACGCAGAAACTCTGCTCATCATTCTCCACAGCCCTCCCAAGATGCCCTTAATGAACAGGAGTGCATATCCTGGGTAGGTCCCTGCATCCTGGGTTTACTGCTTTATAATGGCTGTTGACCAAGAGGGAATCAGGCACCTAAATTCTCCACCCATTTTTGAGGGTAGACTCCTTGGTTTTTAAGGTAAAATGACAGGACAGTAATTGAGACTACTGTAGATTCTTTTTAACACCCAAACTATGATCAGATAATTGATATTTTCAGGAATGATCATTTAGAATGAACATTTGAGTATTTTTTTATTTTCCACACCCACCCTCACCCCAAAGAATTGCTGTTTTGGCTTTTGATGGTACGCAGAACCTGCAACTTACTCAAGTCTTTGGGCTTTAGATACCACCACGGAGCTCTCTGGAACAGAGGATCCGATCTTCCTCTACCCCATCGTGTTGAACTGGTCGGTGAAGGGCTCTGTGCGGGAAGGTAGGTCCTCTAAGACAGCCACTTTGAAGGTCATTCATTCTGTGGAGTTTGTTGTTGCCTGCTTCAGAACTTTTAGGTGTAAGGTTTTGGGTTTTTCACCAGTCAATATCACCCTGCATCTGGTTGCCAAATTGGGAGAGAGACCTAAGTGGGGCGCTGATTTTTAATGTCTGGAGAGGCCGAGCTTGGGCTGTGGCATATTTTGGGAGTGAACAGTGCTACGAAGAACTTTACAAAAGCTAGTACCTTGAGAAATGGTGGTTCTTAAATTCTGCTTAGAGGAAAATAGCAACATTATTGCTTAATATAGAATGTAATACAATAAAATCAGAGGAGAAAGTTATTCTAATGTGCCAACAGATCATAGTTTTAGAAGCAACTTTTCTGAAAACTTCCTCCACGTGGAGATACTTGGAAGATAAAATAAAAAATTCACATGAAGGAAATGCATGAGCTTAGAAAAACAACAGCTCGTACCACATCCATTCCTATAAATGATTCTTTCAGGTGAAAAATACAAATGTCAAGTTCGTAAACTTGCCTGTTGCGCAACAAAATGACCATTAGCAATAGTAACCTTTCTGCGCCCAAACTATGTTGATAATTCTGTGAAATCCCTTGGTTTTCTAGTTATGAGATTTAAGCAGAGACCTAGATTCCTGGAATTCTTTACACAAGTTATGCTAAAATGCATAAACGAGGAACGATTTTCCCTTGTCCTGGAGGTCACAACTCCTGTCCACGACTTCTTGAAAAGGTACATGTGTTATTCATTAAAATGTGTTTCTTTCTTAATGCTCCGATAATCCTTTTGTTATTTCTTTCTAAACAGTTTCAGTGACATATCATTCACATGCCATATAATTCAACCATATTAAACAGAGTTGTGCTGTCATCACCTTATTGTCAGTTTCATAAATATTAGGCTATGTAGAGAGAATGGAGTTAAAATAGCCACCTGGAAGGTAGTTTCAGATGTCTGGATGTAAGTAAGTCTTATACCACTGAAATAAACATAAACAGTCTTATACCACTGAAATAAGAATAGAACAGGCTCTATAAATAAACATAAACAGTCTTATACCACTGAAATAAGAATAGCGCAGGCTCAAATTTCTAATAGGAAATAGATTATGTTTCTTGGTTGTAGACCCAAGGTAGCCATTTCACCTGCAGGTGATCAGTTCCTGCGCACATGAGTTTTTTGGTCCAGTTTTGTTCACATGCTCTACTGTTTTAATTACTCCATAGCTTCAAGGAGAGCCCATAGAAGCGGGATCATTTCTTGGAGTTTTCTTTTGTATTTGTGGATACGGTACTCCTGAAACAGAAATAATAAAACGTTTAGAGGTATCCCTTGAGATCCGAATGATTCTCTTGGCCTTCCAAAAACAGGGAAGGAGTTTCATGTCTCTTGCCTATTATGAGAGATGCCAAGAGTTAGAGTGAATTCAACTTTTCTTCTGATAAATGAACTTTTTGGGAAAATGGGATCTAATTATCACACTTTAATTAAAGTATCCCACTGTAATTAAAGACAATAACATGAAATATATTTTTACAGATAGCTGTAAAATAGAAACCTTCCCTAAAACATGCCCCCCAAATATTCTTCCTAAAATGGGCATTGCACTTATTAGAACAAAAGTTTAGAAAAGATGTGCTTCATCTTTTTCAAATAATAGAAGGGGAAATTGTTTCTATTAAATGAAGAAAAACATGGTAATAATGGGATTGTTGGAATTAGAGAGTTTTATTACGTGAAAAAAAGAAGTCACAGCCAAAATAAGATATTTGAGAACGCTAAAGAATATACTTGATGCTAAAGAAAATCAGAAGACATTTTCAGCGTGCAGAGAAGTCTGGGTGCCTGACTGTGGAGCGACGGCCCCAGTCAGTTCCGACTCAGAGGGACCCTGTGGAAAAGAGAACCAAGCACTGCCTGGTCCCGTGCCAGCCTCCCAGTCCTTGCCATGTCGGAGCCCAAGGCTGAGTCACCATTGCCAGTCCATTCTCTTGCTGGTCCTCCACTTTATCATCGATCCTCGACCAAGCTTGATGCCCTTTCCCAGGATCTGGCCCTTTTGATAACACGTCCAAAGTACGTGAGATGAAGCTTCAGCATCCTCACACCCAAGAAGCCGCCAGCTGTACTGCTTCTAAGACAGATTGTCTGTCTTCCGGCAGTCTATGGTATATTCAGAATTCCTTTTCATGCCACAGTCCCAATGCATCCGTTCTCCGCCACTCTCCCTTACTCCTTGTCTCTTTCAGCTGCACACCAGGCAATGACAATATCGTGACGTGGGTCAGGCACACCTCAGTCCTCAAAGTGACATCTCTTTGTTTTGTTTTTGATGGTGTTGTGCTTAGTAGGCTTTATTGATAACTTATCCATTATAATATCTGTGCTAGGATGAGCTCAATATGTTCTCTGTCATTGATCATATTTAGCATATGTTTTAGATGTCGGCCAAGAAAATTAGAGAAAGATATGAGTTGTAAAATTTTGAAAAGTATGTAAATTTTCATGTTTTGTGAATGTTCAAGATTGAATTGTTGAAACTTGAAGAAAATCAACTGAAAAACTCTTGCAAATATTAAAAGTATATGTATTCATAAAAGCAATAGAAGGGTTAAGTCCAAAAGTATTCCTACAAAATCACATAAGCTTTTATTAAATAAAATATCATAGTGCAGCTATTGTTTCTCAACTTCATCTCCCTCACGGTCTATATACTTCGAAGGCAATGTTTCCATCTCTCTAACTTTACCCCAATAAGTTCTGTGCTCTTTTATTTACAAGACTTTAAAAGGGCAGGGTTGGCATCTTTGAAGGCCACAAATCATGTTACTTTTGTTATCATCTCTGCTTTTTAACACTTTGAAGAGGTCTTATGGAGCAGACTTGCCCACTTCCTGCAAGACATCCCTGAGGAGAAGCCACGAAGACCTACCCCGATACAGCTCTGGGTGCTGGAGCAGTCACATGGAGACTCCTGCCAGCGCTGAGATGCTTACACATTCACTGATTCAGCTTTCCTCCTGCAGTCGGCGTCATTGCGTGTGTTTTGTGAGATGGAAGAGGACTTTGTGGATTGGTGTCGGACATATGGGTTAATGTTGGACTTGTGGGCTTGGGCAGCACTGGGTTGGGATGCTTTCTCAATGTATACTTACCCTTTATATAAAACTCTCTCTTATATACAGATGAGTTTCTGTGGATTTGTTTCTCTTTCTACCTAGACTAACACATTATGTTTAGTGTCACATACCATTTGATTTCTCTGCTCCTATGAACACTGATTGTGGATCCAAATAAAACTGTTGGCAACTTCAATCTTCTGTCTGTTCATCCTGAAGTTGTTTATTGGTCCAGTTTTGAGAACTTTTGTTTTCTTTATATTGAGGTGCAATCTATTCTGAAGGATGGCTGCTAAGTCTTTACTTTTCATCTGTATGTCAAGTCTTCTTGGCTTTTGGCAAACAATGTGTCATTTGCATATTCCAGATTGTTAATGGGTCTTCCTCCAATTCTGATGCTGCATTTTCTTTCATGTAGTCCAGCTTCGCAGATTATTTGCTTAGTTTACAGTGAAAGGACACAATCCTCAGGTACATCAGTCCTTATTTTAAGCCACGCAGTATTCTCTGGTTCTGTTTGAACAACTGCCTCTTGGTCTACTGCCTTCTGGTCTATGTCCAGGTTTGCCGTAGCACAATTCAGTCTTTGAGAGTTCCTAGTCTTTGCAATGTTACTCCTGGTTCCTACAATCCACATTGTCAGATGCTTTCCCATAGTCACTAAATCACAAGTAAACCTCTTTCTGGTATTCTCTGCATTCACCAAGACCAGCGAGTGTCAGCAGTGATATCCCTTGTTCCAAGCCCTCTTCTAAAAGCAGCTGGAATTTTGGGCATCTCTCTGTTAGTGTTTGGCTTAAATGTTTTTGAACTATCTTCAGCAAAATTTTACTTGCCTGTAATACTAATGATATTGGTTGATGATTTCCACTTTCTGTTTTTTCACACCCCCCCTTTTTTTTGAATGGGCACAAATATAGATCTCTCACAGTTGGTTGGATAAATAGCTGTCTCCAAATTTCATAGATGAGTGAGTGTTCCTATTACTTCATCCGCTTTTTGTCCAATGCCTTCGATTGAACTTTAACTTCTTCTTTTAATACCATTGGTTCGTGGTCATATGTTACCTCTTGAAAGAGGTGAATGTCAACCAGTTATTTTTAGTACAGTGACTTATGTAATTATCCACCACCTTTGGTGCTTCCTGCATTTTTCAATATTTGGCCCATAGAATCTTTCAATATGGCAATCCCGGGCTTGAATGCTTCCTTGTTCATTAAAGCTCAGAAACACTGAGCAGGTTCTTCCTTCTTGGCATTCTCACTCCAGGTCTTTGCACACTTCACTAGAATCCTTTTGTGTTATTCTGGGTTCTTCAGAGAAACAAATCCACAGAAACTCATGTATATGAGAGAGTTTTATATAAAAAGGTTAAGTGCGCACCAAGAAAACATCCAAACCCAGTGCTGCCCAAGCCCACAAGTCCAACATTAGTCCATATGTCCAACACCAATCCACAAAGTCTTTCTCCATCTCACAAAACACATGCAATGATGCTGACTGAAGGAGGAAAGCCAAATCAGTGAACATGTAAGCATCTCAGCACTGGCAGGGGTCTCTACATGGCTGCTCCATCACCCGGGGCTGCATCGGGGTAGGTCCATGAGGCTTCTCCTTGGGGATGTCTTGCAAGAAGGAAGTGAGCCTTGCCAGCTGAAGCAGGGAACTGGCTAAGGCAGCTGCACCCTGGTCCAACCATCACAAAGCAAGAGAGCCTAGAACTAGAAAGGTGAGGCTTATAGAGCCATTTATCTCTCCGCCCTTCAATTAACCCCACATGTGTTTATCAGCCAGGTTGGCATAATAAACTAACTACATCACCTTTACTTTGTCTTTTTTAGCTACCCTTTGATTTTTTTTCCTTATGTCAAAATTTATGCCAGTTCCTTTAGCTTCTGCACATTGAGGAACACGTTTCAGAGCCTCTTCTGATATCCATTAAGTCTTTTCTTCTTTTCCTGTCTTTTCCTGTCTTTGTAATGACCTTTTGCTTTCTTTACGTATGATGTTCTTTAAAAAGATTATTGGTGTATAATTAACATATCATACAATTAAACGGTTCAATCATATCAACAAGGGCTGTACGTCATCTTTATAGTCAGTTTTGTAGTTCTCCCCCCTTTTTGCATATTGATGTTGATTCCCACCCCCTTTCCTCTTCCATGTCCCCAGGCTCTTAATGTCATCCCACAACGTGTTTGGCCTTCAGTCCTTAGAGTTCAGTGCATCAAACTATTCTTGAAATGTTCTATATCCAGGTTGAATATAGGCAAAGCCATATTTTAACTCAAATTGATTTTAAAAGTTTTCTTCAGCTTTGGCCTGAACTGGCACATGAGCAATTAGTAGTCTATTCTATGTCAGCCTCTGGCTTTGTTGTGGCTGCTGACATTGAACTTCTCCATCATCTCTTTGTATAGTTATAGTTGACATGATTCCTATGAATTCTATTTGGTAAGGTCACTGGTATAGTATTTATTTAGGTCATTGAGAAAGGTATTTGCAATGAAGAATCATTCATTGGTCTTGCAAAATCCTATCATGTGATTTCCAGCATTGTTTCTATCATCAACGCCGTATTTTCCAACTACCAATTCTCTCTGTTTCCAACTTTTGCATTCCAATCAACAATAATTATTAGTTATTATCAGTATATCTTGCATATTTGATCAATTTTAGAGTTAAGAAATTGGTAGAATCCTTGGAGTTTTTTCATCATTGGCTTTAAAAATTAGTGGGTCAGTTTGAGTAATAGTATTATGGTAATTGGTCTTCCTTGTTAGTGTATAGATAGATATTTTTCCTACCCAAATGGCCCTGCATTTCAAGATAGCTCTTGAAATGTTCTTTTTATTGATGAGATGGATATCCATCTTCTTCAATTTGACATTCCCAGCAAAATGACCAATACCAGTCCATTTCAGCCTACTGATTCTTAGGATATTGATCTTTATGTGTTCCATTTCATTTTTTACAACTTATAATTTTCTTTATTCTATTTCATACACTCTGTATTTAGATTATTCATGTATGTTTACAGCTGTTTATTCTCACTTTGAGATGTGCTTCATCAGCAAATGAAGGTCCTGAATGCTTTCCTCCATTCACATCATTATAGTCGCCTCTACTTTGTGCCTTCTGACCTGAGGGCTCATCTTCTGCGACTCTACTATCTATGACCATGTTTCACTGTTACTCATAAGGTTTTCAATGGTGAATCCTTCAGAAACAATGCCTCTTCCTTCTTCCATATCTGTCTTAATTTGAAAGCTTTGCTGAAACCACTCCAACACAGGTGAAGCTGTTGGTATTTGAAATACTGATGGTTTACAGCATGACAACAACGTGAAAGTCATCACAGTACAACCTAGTGACATAAGAAGACATTTTCAGCCATGTAATGCCTCAGTGAGCATACATGTGCCTTTTTTCTATCTAAGTAAGTACATATACCCAGTAGAAGGTGGCGCATGCAAATCTCTGGAGCATGCAAATAAGCTGGGGAAGAGTAGTGAGCATTGGGATATAGGTTTAGTTACATCTAAGTGGGTGGATACTTAAAAACAAACTTTAATAATGGTCTTGCGCAGGAGTCTATATTCCTGTTTCAAACATAAAAATGGAAAACAGCTTATATCAAATAATGATACAGGAGTAAAATGCACGGCCAGAGTTAAGATGAGGATTACTATTTTTAAGGAGTGTTCCTATCTATAGAATGATACTGATTAGCTTTAGCTACTTTTATATTTAAAAATTATTACATGCTAAAAAATTTAGGAATACTTACAAAAATTTTATACTAGAAATAGGATATTTGACTTTTTGGAGTCAAAGTGAGAGAAAGAAAATACATTAAACATTTTTATCCCTTAAAAAAGAAAGGAAGGCAAAATTAAAAAAAAAAAGGATGCATTGAGAACCTGTTCAATGTCAAACCCTGAATATGGTAGAAATAAACCCAAGCATTTCAGTAATCACAGTAGCTATAAATGAATTAAATTCAGAATAGATTTTACAAACCCAACTAAATGTGGTTTACCAGACTTTGATAACTAAGATGTACCTGACCCAAGCCATGGTCTTATCAATTGCCTCTGAAAGCTGGACAATGAAAAAGGAAAACAGAAGAATTGTACTCAGATTGTGGTTTTGGTAAAGACTATTACATGTACTGTGGGCTGCCACCACCAGAGTGAGCAAGCCAGCCACAGAAGAAGTACAATGAGAATGCTCCTTAGAAGTGAAGATGCCAAGACTTTGGCTCCCTTACTTTTAACAAGTCATCAGGAAATTCCAATTGTTAGTACAGATCAGTAAAATAGAGGATCAACCCAAACAAAGGCAGCCCCGTGAGATGATTGACACAACAGTGCATACAAGGTCCTCAACTACACCAGTCATCCTGTAAGTGCAATGCTTTGTTCGGCTGTGCATGACGTCATCATGATTTGAAACCAGCATGACCAAGCGATACCTGAAACAAAATGATGCAGTGTCAAAAACAAAGGGATGGATGATGAGACAGAGAGGCTGTATCTGCAAAATGTGCTGTCAGTGAAACATGAAGTGGAATGGTTAGTGATTAGCTCCATTTAAAAATGTAACAGGCTATTAATTGTTTTTCTGTGGGAGTCTGGAGAGAGTAAGGGCCTATAAGAATGACAAAGCTGGTTGGAAAACAGCAGGCTTGGGATGCAAGGTAGAGAATCTGGATCCGACATCCCGAGTGGTCACTGGTCCAAGCTTCCTAGGTTAAGGAGACAATGAAATACAGTGATCATTTAGGGTCATCATATCGACATTGAAGTGAGAAATGAATTGTCTCTAAGACTGAGATAAAGTTGAGTCATATACCTCAATGCCTGGAACTAGTTCTCCAGGTTCACTTAGCCATCTTATTAGCTTTCCCATGATGGTGGACCCTTCATTACATGCAATTTACCCTTTTGGATCCCATTTAACATTTTGTAGGAGGGTGTTGCTCCACCTGGCAAGTATTTGCCAAAAATATATATATATATACATTCCAGGAAATATATATATTTATGGAAACATAGGTAATAAGTGTCAATAGAAGGAAAATGAGAAACTTTGCAGTACATATTTAAACATGACCCAGATTACCACTGACGTCTATGGAGAATGGGGGAAACCAGGTTAAAACCCCCCGGCAGGTGATTGAGTCAGGAGAACTTAGCCCACATCTAAGAGGCTTAGTCCCCGTGGGCAGTCAGAAGTGAATGATGCCTGCAAGCCTGTATATGATTGGACTAAAGAGACTCAGAGCTGTTAGTAGAAAGAGAGCTTGTCTACATCACTGGGATCTAGTGTTCTCAGTTGTAAAGGGAGGGGTACCGTTTGTCTTATTTTCAGGCCAATTCGATTCCTCTCATATCATGCCTTTAATTGCTGCACTTTTGTCCATAGACACATTAGTTTTCATCCTATTTTATGATTTAGGTTACATTTTTTCTCTTTTGAGAGCCAGATGGTATCACCAGATGCTATCACGATCTAACTTCCACATGGGACACAAGCAATTTTGGACAAACTTCCTGCATAGTTTCAGTGACAGCATTCATTAAAGGACCTGTTTCTTTGAAGTAGATCTGCATATTTTTGCAAATCCTTTTGATTGATTTTGTATTTTTGCCTTAGGAGGAATGAGACCCTACTTGGAACCAGAAGGCCAAGATTTAAGGACAATATTTTAAATAAAAAAGCAAACAAACCTGTTAGGAAGTTTAAAGCTATAGTAATGGAGATTGGAAAAGTAAGTTTGAAATTTTAAGCTCATGAAACAAGAGATTCATGTATTTAGAGATGATTTAAGTGAATTTTAATTTTTAATAATATGAAACCACAGGAAAGAAAAATAAGCATATTTTTATAATTAGCATTTTTCAATTCTTATTATCATATGAATATTTTTATAATCAGAACTTCTTATCTCTAGGGGTACTTTTGATGTTGCTCTTTAAGTAGGGGAAGTAAGGAACCCTCTGTATTTCAGGGTTGTAAGATGAGTGATTTAGACTCCATGACATAGCATTTTGTTCAAAGTTTGAATTTAGTTTGTAATGTTTTTGTTATCTCCTTTATTAAGGTTACAGAAATACCACCAAAAAGAAAATATAAAAAAAGGGAAACGCTAAGAGAATTTTTTTCCAGAAATCCAAGTATTTCTGAAATGGCAGAACAAGAAAGGTATCATTTAACTAATTCATTTGACAAATGTTCGCTTGAGGGTGACTCTGTAGTGGCATCATTTGGGGCAGGAGGGATACACTGGGGGAATAGATAGATAAAGGTCATGGCCACCAGGGACCTTACTTACCAAGGGAACATAGTGAACAAATAAGCACACAGATAAATAAGGTAATTCAGAAGTGTATTCATTTTGTGAAGTAAATGAACTAGATAATATGTTACAGAGCTACTGGGCTGGGGTGATCGTAGAGGTGGAAGCAGTTTACTTAGGGTGGTCATTAGAGCAAATTGATGTTATTCTTTTTCTCTTCAAAACAGGATTTTTTTGTCATATAATTCATATATCATAATTTGATAGTTCAAACACATCAAGAAGAGGTGTACTGTCATCACCACAATCAGTTTTGGAACATTTTTTTAGTTCTTGTACTCATTGTAATTAGCACTATGTTTACCCCCAACCTCCCCTGCTACACCCTCAAGGAACGATTAATCCAGTTGCTGTCACTATAGATTGAAATATTCTGCATTTCATATACAGAAAATCATTTTTTAAAACTCATATAAATGAAAACTAACAATAACAAAGTATAACAGATAAAAACCTCAATAGAAAGGAACATGTTGCAAACGAGAATGAGATTAAAATGGATCAAAAGGGAGATCAAACGATAAGGTGTTAAATTCTAATGTAAGTGCATCTGTAGTTATCCACTTTCCCATGCACTCTGCACGATAGCAAGGCTGTTCACCTCCCTGCTCTATGGCCAGAGACAATTGACAGGAGGCCCAACCCATCTGGAGTTCCCATCCACTTTTTTTTTTAACTGAAACAACTTTAAAATAGATTGAAAGGGAGATAAAATGATATGATATTGCATTTTGACCTGTCTATATCTGCCATAATGGACTTCACAACCTTCTCTGTCTGATAACAAGGCTGTTCACATCCCTCAACTGTGATCAGAGGAAATTTACCAGAGGCTTAATCCACGTGTGGACCCTGCAAATGGATTTTGGCCTCCACTGTCATCTATAGCCTTCTGCAGACCAGGTGTTCACAGTTTAAGCTCTGATCCCGTTCCCTATTTTGGATTTGGACTTTATTATTTACAATCCTTGGATCACACAGGCTGGTGTGCTTCTTCCATGTGGATTTAGCCATCACACTTAGATGGCTGCTTCTTTGAAGACAAGCCTTTAAGACCGCAGACACTATTTCTTCTGATAACCAGGCACCATAGTTTCTTCACTACACTTGGCAATAGTACCCAGAGCTTTAATGATCTCTTCACGAGAGTGAGCATCAAGCAGGGCCATGCCATAAGAACTAATTGAGGGGGAGGGGGAGAAAAAGGAAAACGAGCTGATTCCGGGAACCCAAGAGGCAAGCGAATTTGGGGGATGAGGGCAACAAATGTATAGATGTGCTTTACACAATTGATCTATGTATTGTGATGAATTTCATGAGCCCCAATAAATTGATTAAAAAAAAAAAAGAACTAATTGTTCTTAGATTGGGGCTAGAATTAAGTGCAAGCTCCAAATCCATTCATGAATATCGGGTTTATATATGTCTCTAGCTCACCTTAGAGACAACATTGTCATTTTACATCAGAGAATATATATTATCATGAAGCATCACTTTAACTGTCATGGAGTCAGTGCTGATTCATAGCTACCCAAGGTTCAGGGTAGAATTGCCCCTGTGAGTTTCCAAGACTGTTAATCTGGCAAATTATTCTTAATTATTGGTGGATCTAATTCTTTGTTCCATACATTTAAACACATTTATTGTGATTGTAGGGTCCTTGGGTGGTGCAAAAATGTAAGTGCTTAGATGCTAACTGAAAGGTTGGCAGTTCAAGACCACAAAATAGCCATTAAAAACCCTATTGAGCACAGTTCTACTCTGACATAGATAAAGGGTTCATGAGTCAAAATTAACTGGACCACTGTGCTTTGATTTATCATGGTTGTAATGATTTGGAAGGAATTTGGGGGTGATCAAGTAAAGAGAGCTAGTCATTGCACAAGCTATTTATTGGGGCTGATGCATGGACAGTAGTACACAGGGGTTCCCCCACTGCAGAAGATAAACCAGAGGAATAAGTTAAAGGAGAATTGGGCAGGAACCATTGCAGAGAAGGAAAGAAGTTTGAGGAAGCTCAGGTGAACTCCTCTGGTAGTTAGATGCACCTTAGGGGAGGATTTCCCACAGCAAGTTGGGAACGGAATCAGAGAACTCCAAAGACAGCAGCATCTTTGTTGTTGTCCTCATGTGCTGTTGAGACGGCTAGTAGATTTAACATATCAAAAGAGACTAAAGATACAATCTAATCCTGTAGATCTTATATGCCACATTAAAATAGTTGCCTCTAATCCTGCCTCACTAACATTATAGAGGTTAGGATTTATAACACATAAAATAATTATATCGGATCACTAAATAGAAGATAATTATATAATACTGAGAATCCTGTCCTAGATTAGTTGACCATATTTTGGAGGGACACAGCTCAATCCATAGCACCCACTCTGCGGTATCTCACAAGACAGGATGGCAATCTGTCTCCCAAAAGTCAAAGCCTTGCCTCCCCTGTGGAGAAATTCTACTCCACATCTGATCAACTCAATGGCAATTAACAACACGAAAAACAAAGGGCAAAAACAAAAAGCTGAAAAACCCTGGATGAAAAGAAAACCAACATCTTTTGATTTTCAAAATCAACAGCTTGCTTCCTTCCTTTGTTTGCCAAAAGGTCTACTCCTCTGATTCAATCTCTGCCCATCTTCTTTCTGTTTTCCTTTTTCTCTTTCTTCTATGTGTGAATTTTGATTCAGTTTAAACTCAGTACAGTATCATATAAGTGAGGAAATTACCTTACTTTACCAACTGGTAAATTATCCTGAGCACCTACCTTTATGCCTGTGGTAAACAGCATGGAGGGAGACACATCTGACCTCCTGTGGCTTCCCTATTGCCATGAAGCAGGAGTCAGACAAGTCCCTATTGTTCTTCTCAATGACTTATTCGGACACCAACTGCCCCTCCCATACCATATGGGTCTTGAGAATGGCTACACAGAACTCAGACAATACTCACAATTAAGAGGTTTACTAGGGAAGTTAATAGGTTATGACAGCAAACAGCAAGGACAAAGGCATTGGTCTCCTCAGCCAGCAGCCAAGTCTCTCTCCAATTCTCAGCCTCTCAGTCCCATGGTAGCCAAGTCTTTCTGGTTCTTAGTCTTTCCGCCATGTGGCCCCTTGGTCTTTGCCTCCATGGGCCAGGAAGCCAACCCACGAGTCACTTGGTCCCACAGTTCCACAGTGTGGGTCAGATAAGGAAGCAGTACCGCTGCTCCTCTGAGGCTCTGTGCCACAAGCTGCCATGCATGTCTCGGTGGCCTCTGTCACTTCATACACAGATCTTGAACGGGCTCTTCCCAGGTCCTCTCAGTTTCTCCCTCCTCTCCTGTTTCAAAACTGGATCATCCTTACAGCCAGGGGGTGGTAACAGGAACGGATCCATCCCCTCTATTAGTGTTACACATGCCCTGTTTTTGTAGTCCACTCAATTGGGTGGTGGGACTATAGACTCTTGAGTAGAAGACCCGTATGAAGATATCTCACTCCACCACAGGGCCTTCTACATCTCCCAATTTTACATCTATAGCACTGAAAAACTGAGAAGCAAGTCAGGAAGATTTGCATAAGGGTAGTCAAGTGACTTCTTGATCTATTTTATGTAAGGTGGAATTCTTCTTCTTGCTTAAGTGTCTAGAGGTTTGTGTAAAACCGCAAAATTCCTTTCTCCCATGGCAGAAATAAGAGAGCTGATGTTAGAAAAGTAGCCTATCAATTCTTGGTGGATAATATGAACCCGATCATTCTAAATCATGTCAAAAGAAAGCGGTTTCATCAAATATATCTGGAGGAGATGCCCTGGAGATCTCAGATGAATCTGCATCTGGCAAACGCACATTTCAACCTGTTCCTACAAAAGCTAGGGGAGCGAATGAAGATGAAATTTGGTCCTTCCCCAACAATGGTCAGGTATAGTACATTATCAATGTATAGCAAATGTTTAATCCTATGAACATGTATTATCTATGCATGTGGTTCTAATGCTGAAAACAATCTAAAAGAGGTTTGTAGGGTGCCTGTACTTGATACTGGCCATTGGTGTGTGTTCTAATCTCTTATCTCAGAGTCTGAAGCGCTTCTGAAGTACTAATTTACACATATCTTGACTATGTTTATTAATATACCTTGCAATGCAAGGATAAAGTGCAATTTGAACAGAAATCTAAAATGAATTGTATCATAGTTTACATGTCAGTAGGTGTTAGGCAAAACTCTATATAATTTAGAAGTATATATTTACCCTTGATATAGAGAGATGCTATTTTTCTTATATAATCTCACCTTTCTATCATTAATTCATAAATCCTGCTACTGTTGTCACAGGAACTTCTGTGTGTCTATCCCGGCGCCCAGATCTGTCTCTCCTTTCTCTTAGAAAGGCACTGGTCATTGGGTTCAGGGTGGACTCATTTTCACTTGATTTCATCTACAAAGGCTATTTCCAAGCAAGGTCACATTCACATGTCTGGGGGGTTTGGACATTACCATACATTTGGGAGTAAAATTCAACTCACAAGAAGTATACAAAGATGAATCATATATACCAGGCAAATATACATATAGACTACAGTCTGGAAGGATTAATCACAAATGTTCATATATAAACATATAGCTTTTGGTATAAAAAACCCCACAGATAACTAAAACTTCTGGTAAAAGCAAAAGAACAATGCAGTCTTTGTTCCTGGGCAGGATTTTCCTCTGATTGGAATGGCACAAAGGAATAGTTTCATAGAAAAGAGGCACTTGACCAAGGCCTAGATGGATTGGCATGGCTTTGAAATTGAGAAGTAGGCATTCTAAAGAGTTGGAAGAACACAAGTCAGAGTCGATGTAGGAAACACAGGATGAGAACCACAAACAGTCTGACAAGAGTCTAGTACAAATGACATGGAGTGGCATGAAATAACTAGAAAAGTCAGCCAATACCAGACCAGAGGTGCTATTAAACATCTATTAACTTGAACTTTATTTGATACACTTGTAGAGTGAAAGGCTATTGAGGATTTTGAGCAGGGCCATGATAAGACATTTCTCTGGCAGCAACATATCAAATGAATTGGTGGGAGGACAGACCTGGTTCAGGATATACATTAAGAGACTAGTTATTCAAATAATTCAGTAAGAAAAAAATGAGCGTTGAAATTCCTTAGTGAACTTGGTCTCCTGGTTTGTTTCTCCAACATTTTGGCTAAAATCACAACCAGATTGACCCTTCACAGTAACGTCCTGTTAGGACCCACTTGCTGTAGTCTGCGCTAGACTTACATTCAGGATGCAGTTCACGTCCCCGACCAACAGAGTGCGTTGGGTCAAAGTGAGCCACCTATGTGGGGCCAGGCCAGGGAAATTGGGTCAGACCAGAGAGACTGAAAACAGTTGCTTCTCTCTGAGCTGCCTTGCAAACGCTAGTTGTCACTGAGCCCATCCCGACTCACAGAGACCTATGTACAACAACAAAACACTGCCAGGCCCTGTGCCAGCCTCACTGTTTTTCTGTGTCATTTCATCGTGTTGGGGACCTTCCTCCTCTTTGCTGCCCCTCTACGTTACCAAGCATGATGCCCTTCTCCAGGGACTGGTCTCTCCCGACAACATGTCCGAAGTACGGGAGGCAAAGTCTCACCATCCTTGCCTCTAAGGAACATTCTGGCTGTACTTCTTCCAAGATAGGTTTGTTTGTTCATTTGGCAGCCCACGGTACTTTCAATATTACAGAACCATTTATGCACAGTCAGTGGTCTAATTTTTGCCACGGTAACTTAGTACCAAATTTTATTTTCTTAAAAGTGTAATATATACTCAGTATTTCTGGATGCATGCCTTTTTAATGGAAGTTTAGACCTTCTCTAAAAAAAAAAACACCCCAAATTGTGGACACATTGTGTACACAGTAGGTAAGTTCACGGACCTGTATTAAGATCAAGTGGTTGTGAACACAAAGCAGTCTTTCAATGCTCAGAGACTATTCAGATTTTCAAGGGCTCTTGCAAGGAAACCGATGTTGATGTTAAAATTCCTTAGAGAAAAGTGATAACATTTTATAATTTCAAAGTTAATTGGAAAATATTTGACTTTGAACAAGTGCCAAAATAGCTTGTGATCCAAAACTTGTGGGCACTAGCTCAAAAAGTTTCACGACTAAAAGGTTGTATTTGACAGGTTTAATTCAGTTTTGCTTGTATTGTTATTTTACTGTGTCTTTTTTCCCCTTTGCAGCTTCCGGTCACTTGATCCTAACATGTTTGCATTATATAATTCAGGAGCAGTATTACCCACAGGAAAATTTACTGTAGAAAGTTATAAGGCAATGCTTGATTTCCTTCTGACTGCTAAAAAACGAAGGGCTAATTTGCCATCAGGTAAAATAAATATGTTAATATACTGTGAACTTGCCTCTAAGGTTTTTTTTTAATTCACAAACAAATGTAATACACACACACAGTTGTACTGAGGCACACATGCCATTACCTAAAGATCCAGGAATTCAGTTGAGTTGTGTAGGAAATTGTTGTTTTCTCTTAAAAAAAGTTCGATATTTTTATGTTCTTATCATATGTATTGGAAATATCTGTTTTATTCTCACCGTTACCAATGTACCTACTTGCCAAATATAAGGGTCATTTGTTGCATCTTGGCAGCTGTGGTTCAGCGACCATGCGTTCTGTTTTAGTGGAAATGGGTCTCCAAACACAATTCTAATGTGTCAAGGCACACATTAAGGCAGAAAAGCCTAATCTGTGTTCAGGACTGTGGCAGCCTTGTCCCAGGATCTCCCTCTAGTACTTCCACTTCCCATGAAAGCTCACTCCCAAATGCATGCAGCAATATGCTGATGGAGGGGTCAATTCTTGTTGTTACCTGCTTGATGACAGGGGTTTCTATGAAGTAGGGGGTATGGGCTGCCATGATAACTTTCATATGCTGAACTTGACTGATAGTTTACTCCTGTTCCTGCAAAGACAATGGATCCTGGATCCTATTCGAACTGTATTTGCTTCCTAGGGCTGCTGTAACAAAATGCTATGGTCTCGGTGTCCTGTAAGAACAGAAATTCTTATCTTCCAGTGCTGGAGGCTAGAAGTCCAAGTGAACAAGGCCATGCTGCCTCTGAAGGACCTCTCTGCTTCGGGCGTAACAGGCATGCCTTGGTTTACAGAGGCACACATCACAGGGCAGTCTCCCCTGGGGGGTCTCTGTGTGTTTTCTCCTCTTTTAGAAGGACACCACTCAGATTGGTTCAGGACTCCCCTTAAGTTATAACATCTTCACAGACAGACTCTATTTCCACAGAAGTTCATATTCATAAGTACTATAGGATAGGATCTCCACATAGTCATAACACTGACCAATCAGCTAATTTGAATACCACTCATTTTATAAGGAAACATTATTTCTAGTATCTTTTAAATATTATAAAAGCTCATATAGATTTTTAATGATACATGAAGTGCGTTATAACTTGTGCTGATTGGGGTACTTCATATGCTGTTTAACTGCCCTTGGAATGTCGATTCATATTTGAGGTACTTTGTGTCTTTGACAACTTTTTGTAGGGCATACATTAGTTGTACCGATCTACATATTTTACATATATAGGTGTATATATGTAAATACATTTGTATATGCATACATATGTGTGTGTGTATATACATATATATATATACATACATACACATATATATGTATATATAAGCATTTGAAACTAAATTCCACAGAGCTTTAGTCTGGTTTTGCATATAGTTTTTTTCTTTTAAACTCACTCCCTCCCTAAGACCTACCATGAAATTTGAAATAGATATTTTAATATTGAGATCTACTTCCTGATGCAGAGTTCTAAGAGAAACTTCATGCCAGAAAAAATAGTCTGTGTTTTTATGTCATGCCAACAGGGTAGGGAATGACCAGGGCCACTCCCTGCACAAGGCCAGGGACGGTGCTCCTTTCCTCCTTTACGTGTCCTGAGCGTGATCTATGTGGAGGGGAAGTAAGGGAATCCACCTGTGTTTGCTCAAGCACATGCTTACTCCTGCCTTCCGTTGCTCCTTTGGCCATCTCCCTTTCCTGGGATTTCTTTCTATTCTCTTTCCACAGGCTGGGTTGGCGGCCCTCTTTTAAGACCTAACAGGTAGTGCCCCTCAATTAAGACATGATGTAAGAGCTTCTTTCCCTAGAAGCATTCCCTGGCTCAATTCCCAGGTTAATTCTGCAAACTTAGCTGGCATGCATTTGCTGAATTAGTCATTTGCTGTATCTCACTTATATTGTTTTCTGGAACTCAATTTTCTATTTTCAATAACGTTGTGCTTTTTGTTTGTGTTGCAGATGCCGATGAATTTTCTGTGTATATGAATTACCAAATGGATGAAAAAGAGATTCCCAGGATGCAAACAGGTTCTGACACGGACTCTCAGTCGGGTGTTAGTTCTAGGGAGAAGGACCGAACAGGAAATGCGAGCCTACCAGACCATTTCACAAAAATCTTTCTCTATTGCAGAAGAGCCATGGTAATGTGGTCATTTTGATTTGGTAACGTCATAAACCTAAAGTTTACCCCATATGCACAAGCCCGTAAGTTATATTGCCAGGTAGTTATTTGCTATGTAGTTTATGCATAATTTTGGTTTCAACTGTGAGAACCCATCTTGTTGGATTCAGCCTCGGTGAGTGGTGAGGTTTGCCTTCCATGGCAGTGAGGCCTCTTGTAGTGTCCATCCTCATGGAGAGATGGTGAGTTTCTCTGGCCTACAGCCGTCCATCCACCTAGAGTGGCCACTGTTCCTGTCCTTCATGGGAGTAAAAAGCTCGTCTTTCTCCCACAAAGTGGCTGGTGGTTTTGAGCAGCTGACATCATGGTTAGCAGCCCAATTTGTAGCCACTATGCCACCAGGGTTCCTTTCTAATGGTACATAGTCATGATTTTAGCTATCTTTATATCGCCATAGTATTTGCAGAAAGATGAACTTGTTCAGGGCCCTGGAAACTTTGGTACCTTGGAATCACTCGAATGTTGCCTTTGTTCTAGGTCCTTGCTCACCGTGGTGGCTACTGGACTCTGCTTCAGAACTGCTGTCGGGCCTTTTGGAACTATGCGCACGCTCTACAGATAATCCTTAAACAAGGATTTGATCTTTTTAAAGTCCTTCCTATGAATCAGGATAGCTTCCTCTGTATTTCTGTGTTACCATTCTATCTGGGAGCAGAATTGCTTATTGACATGTTAATAGAACTTCAAAACATTGATTCTATTAAGGTAAGAACTTTTTGGTTCTTATTTGAATTATAGTCAATAAAAATATTCTTATATCCTGTAACCTTGGGTAGATAGAAATTAATTTCCCCCCTTGAATGCCTATTTAGTTGGTCTATATTTTATTTCTTCTTATGATTTGGTTCCTAATATATAACTTGCATTGATGTTCATGAAAGATGATCTCAACCAGAAATTTTGATTTCTTCAAGGCAAGAGAGTCACCCTAAAGGACTTCCAGGTCCTACGTGAGTTCATCTTAATACATTTTCTCCTCACAGCAACCTTCTTTAAGAACAGAGGGAAAAATGGGCTCAGAGAGAGTGCAACATTTGCCGGTGAGGTTGCATCCTTTGCTTCATCCTTCCCTGTTACCTGGCTCCACCTCGTGTAGAATTGACAACCATTTTAATTCTCCCACATTGAGATTGAGACCATGGAAATAAAATGGAAAAGGCGCAAGCATAAAATAATCTAAACATGGAAATGAAGTAAACACAGAAACACAATGCACCATGGATAGGGCATTTGGTTTAATGCTGTATTGTGAACTAAATTTCTAGAACTAAACTATATGCTTACAATAAAACAAAGGACAGGAAAGGTAAATGGTATGATGCTGGCAGAAGAAAGGTTAGTGGGTTCAATCCCTTGACCTTTTGGTTTGCTGAGTGCTTAACCCCTGCACCAGCAGGGCTCCTGCTACGGGAGTGTCACCAAGAAACCAGACTCACTGGCCTTGAGTCCAATCTGACCCGTCGTCTCTGAGACTGAATCTTAAAGAGGGCCTCTTGTTCTGCTGTGGAGTAGCTTGGTGGTCTTGATCTGCTGCCCTGGTGGTTGGCAGCCCAAATGCTCATCCTGCAGTGCCACAGAGCTCCTCCCACTGGAATAGAGGGAGTCTTCATCCTTCACACTGGTTTCCTTTACAAGAGGAGAATGGTGCAAAGAAAGAAAGAGAGACACAGGATGCTGTAGGAGACTGCAAATATAAGAACTGTGAGTCAGAGAATGCTTAGGACTACCAGAAGCTGGGAGAGAGGCACAGAACGGTTTCTCTCTGCGAACCTTCAGAGGGTATCGACAAGCTGATAGCCTGATTTGGACTTCTAGCCTTTAGAACTGCCAAACAGCTAATCAGTTTGTGGTATTATGGTAAGTGTGCATGCCTCTAACAATAGTGATTCGGAATATATGAACCAGAACTCACAGAACTTTAGGAAAAAATAAAGTCTACAATCAACAATTGATGGAATGCTAGGATAAAAATCACACAAGGTATGTAAGATTTAAACACTGTCAACTAACTTGATCTAATTGATATTTATACAGCAGTATACTTAACAATGGCAGAATCCACATTATCAAGTGCACATGGAGTAGTCATCAAGGTGGATCAAATACTGAGTAAAAAATAAATCTTCATAAAATTTAGAATATAGAAGCTATAAGGAATATATTTTCTGATCACTACAGAAGTGAATTATAATGTTATTGTTAGATGCCATCAAATTGACTCCAACTTGACACAGTCCTGTGTACAGTAGCATGGAAACTGCCTGGTCTTGTGCTGTCCCCATTACCGTTACGATGTTTGGGCCCATTATGTGTCCACCGCATCAGTTCATCTCCTTGAGCATCTTCTCCTTTTTCACTCACCCTCTACTTTACCAAGAACGATGGCCTTTTCTAGAGACTGGTCTCTCCTGTTAACATGTCCAAAGTGCCTGCGATGAAGTTTCACCATCCTCACTTAGAAGGTGCACTCTCACCAAAGTGGCTGCATCATTTGCATTACTACCAGCAGTGTTGAGGGTTCCGATTTCTCTACATTCTCATTGACACTTGTTTTTGGCCACAATTTTCACTGCAGTCACACAGAATATATAAAGAAATCTTACAACTCAACAGGAAACTGAACAGTCAAATGAAACAAATGGGAAACAGGTTTGAATAGCTACTTCTTTAAGGAGTATCAACAAATGGCCAATAAACACATAAAAAGATATCCAATGAAATTAGACACTAGGGAAATGCAAATCAAAACAATGAAATGATACTTCTCACTCAGCAACCAGTTTGCCACGGAGTGAATTCTGCCCCATGGTAGTACCTTCACGTGTCCCGCAGTAGAATTGTACTCCGTAGGGTTGCCAATGGCTGATTTTTCACAAGTGAATCACCAGGACTTTCTTCCAAGACACTGCTGGGATGTATTCAGATTACC